GGCAAAGAAGGGCAAGTCGAGGACGGCATGGTCAGAGTGGCATCCGGAGCATTGGGTGCTGAGTGAAGACGAGGAACGGGAGGCCGCAGTCTGGAGTTTGCTTGGTATTGAACATGGCGATCATGGATCATATGTGATGATGATGATGATGCAGTTTATTGTGGTAGTGATTGCGACTAAGATGAAGAGGGAAGAAGCTTTGCAAAAGTCTACACTCCCTCAGAATCGATGTCCTGCATGACAAACCCCCTTACCCCTAAATGCCCTGACACCCTGAACCCCATTGCGTCCAAAATCCAAGCCCCCTAGATTCTGAACAGACCTTGAACCGCGTGGAAGCCCTGGAAACGCAGGCTCTTAAGCTGGAGAAGAAGCTTCGCGAGATCGCTGCCCTCGAGCCTTAGCCGATGTTGAAGTTGGTTTAGAAGGTTCAGTATACTTCCAGGGTTTAGGGTTTAGGGGCGTACGAGTTTAGTTTACGGGTCACGTTAAGGGCTTTAGGGTCAGTATCTATACGGCTGCTTGTCGAACTGTCCGTAAATAGGGATCTGCAACATGTACTTTTAATGCCTACCTTCGTAGGGGAGCGGAGGTATTTCTTGTCGAAAACAACCAAACCACATAGCTTGAACCCTGCGCCCTAAGCCCTTTAAGCACTCTTAACGGAGCCCTTAAAGTTCTTAAAGGAACCCGAGAGGGGAGCTTTACTGGGATCCTGATACTAACCTTTTACAAGGCCCTTATGAAGAGCCAAGGAACAGCTGGTAGAGCAAGGGAAGCACCTGGATTCACTTCAGCTGCAAAAGGTGCGCTGCTGAAAGGGTTGAAGGGTGTGAAGTTTTGGATTCAGGGTTTAGGGTTGAGGGAATTTGATATTTGGGTTCAGGATCACAGGGCTTAGTAAGTAGGTTGTTAGTGAAACATAAAACGTGCCTAGTCGACTGGGCTCCGAAGTGGGGATCTTAGCAGGAACGCAGGCAGGTTGAGTGGAGGGTAGTTGGGTTTCCAAACAGAGAATCCTTCGAATAAGAGGTTTACAAGTTTTTGTTGTTGAACGTCTCTGTAAGGGTTGTTTAAAGATGTTTAAAGACTCCAGTGTTGAGCAACATATACAAGATGCCTAATGCCTTTTCCTGCAAATCGCGACTCTGTGAGTCCACATCGATGATCGCCAGGTGGATCGGAGGAGTGAGATCGAATCTCATGAGGTGCTGCGCAAAGTGCGCCTTGGTTACCAGCGGATCGCTCTGCCGGCTGCTTCCTAGTAGCTCCCTTGCGCACTTTGGTGGGCGCATCGGAGGGCAATGTACAGTGTACAGCTTACCACCNNAGTACAGTGCTGCCTACGATAGTCTGGAGAGTTGCCTTGTGCGTAACTCTGTGTGCTGGCGGCAGCAAAATCACATCCTACCATCTGACACTATTTCGTGACACAGAGAAGCGATGTTCCATATCATGGGGCTTTGTTTGGGGCTCTTCGGCTACTGTAGGGCTTCTTAAATTCAAGGGCTGCCGGAGAAACTGCTTACAGGAACTTGACATATTGTGACCCCGGGATTGGATGAAAAAGCCCGAGGTCCCCTTTTTTCTGAGAGGCTTCTGTTCTGCCGCAGCATGCCTCATCAAAACTAACTCGTCCCCCGTCGCCTCGTGCCCTGCAACGACAATGTCTGCCGTCGACAGCCAGATCTGCTCCTTCCAACACTTTCGGCCCGTTTATTTTGTGGTCTCCCTTTTTGGTAAAGGCTTAACGATCGGAGCGTTCCCCTAAACCCTAAAACTTAAACCCCAAGATCTACACCCTACGGTTACCCTTCTTAGCGGGGATGCTGGGTTATCAAAGCCAACCAGTCGTGACAAGAAACCGGATGCCCTTCAGAACCTAGGCTCCCGGTGCAACAGCACCGGCCACAGGGCCGCTCAGTGCCCGAAGATGCCGTAGCTCGGGTGGCTCTTAAGAACCACTTTAGGGATCTATAAATGAGCTCCTTTGGAGCAATAGGGACTCACTAAGGGTTGCTGTGGTGGGTTTAGGGTCTAGGGGTGCAGGAAAATTCAGCATAAGACCACGCAGGCATGTTGAACATGTGTTTCTTTTGTTGATTTTTTTGGGGTTTAGGGTTGAGAAATTAGAGGTGTAGACTTCGATACAGGATCAGGCTGTTGGAGGGTTTAGTGAGGCCATTCTTCTACTCGATATTGATGGTTTGGTTTGTTAGTGCTCAAAGCTCGTTGATGTGCGCAGTTTGGAGTGTTGTGTGGTGCACATCGCGCGCCTCGGCCACCCAGGTTCTACAAAACTTGCGAGTATTGCAAGGTGGTCGGGCATGGAGTGAAGGCCTGCCCGGTTTTGCAGCGCAAGGCCCTGGAAAAGGTCAGCAAGCAGAAGGAGGCAGAGAAGAAAGCTGCCAATGATGCTTGCAGCGAGTCTGGAACAAGTACCACGGCCTCGTCCGAGAGAGCGTGGTGGCAGAAGCGGGCGGCAAAGAAGGGCAAGTCGAGGACGGCATGGTCAGAGTGGCATCCGGAGCATTGGGTGCTGAGTGAAGATGAGGAGCGGGAGGCCTGCCGCAGTCTAGAGTTTGCTTGGCAAGGATGATTGTCACTATGTGATGATGGTGATGCAGATTATTGTGGTAGTGATTGCGACTAAGATGAAGAGGGAAGAAGCTTTACAACGAGCTACACTCCCTCAGCATCGACGTCCCGCATGACCCCAAAACAAGTTGCAAACCCCCTTAACCCTAAACGCCCTCACGCCCTGAACCCCATTGAGTCCAAAATCCAAGCCCCTTAAACCTTAACCATAGACCTTGAACCCCGTGGAAGCCCTGGAAACGTAGGCTCGCAAGCTGGAGAAGAAGCTTCGCGAGATCGCTGCCCTCGAGCCTCAGCCGATGTTGAAGTTGGTTTAATTAGAAGGTTCAGTATACTGCCAAGGTTTAGGGTTCAGGGGCTTAGGAGTTTAGTTTAGGGGCTAAGTTAAGGGCTTTAGAGTCAGTATCTACTCGGCTCTTGGTTGCTTTTGAAGTAGTTTTGCTTGTCGAACTGTCCTTCAATAGGAATCTGGAACACGTACTTTAAATGCCTACCTTCGTTGGGGAGCGGAAGTATTTTCTCGAAAACCACCAGAACATATAGCTTGAACCCTGTGCCCTAAACCGTTTAAGCACTCTTAACGGAGCCTTTCAAGTTCTTAAAGGAACGCGATGGGAGCCTTACTGGGATCCTGATACAGGCCCTTTTGAAGAGCCCAGGAACAGCTGGTAGAGCAAGGGAAGCACCTGGATTCACTTCAGCTGCAAAAGGTGCGCTGCTGAAAAGGTTGAAGGGTGTGAAGTCTTGGATTGAGGGTTTAGGGTTGAGGGAATGTGATATTTGGGTTCAGACTTAAAACGTGCTTAGTGCACTGGGCTCCGAGGTGGGGATCTCACCAGGAACGCAGGTTGAGCGGAGGGTAGTTGGGGTTCCAAGCAGAGAATCCTTCCATTAAGGGGTTTACAAGTTCCATTTGTTGAACGTTTCCGTAAGGGTTGTTTAAAGACTCCAGTGTTGAGCAACTTACACAAGATGCCTAATGCCTATTCCTGCAAATCGCGACTCTGTGAGTCCACATCGATGATTGTCAGGTGGATCGGAGGAGTGAGATCGAGTCTCATGAGGTGCTGCGCAAAGTGCGCCTTGGTTACCAGCGGATCGCTCTGCCGGCTGCTTCCTAGTAGCTCCCTTGCGCACTTTGGTGGGCGCATCGGAGGGCAATGTACAGTGTACAGCTTACCACCGCAATTTTGCGGAATGCGTCATCATATCATTAGTTACAGTTCAGTGCTGCCTACGATACTCTTGGGAGCTGCTTTGTGCGTACCTTCGTGAGCTGGCGGCAGCAAAATCATGCCCTTGCATCTGGCGCTATGGTTTCCATTGCCTGCAGAGAAGCAATGTTCCATATCATGGGGCTTTCTTTGGAGCTCTTCGGTTGCTGTAGGGCTTCTGAAATTCAATGGTTGCCGGAGAACTAGACGCGGAGAAGCAATGCTCAGGACCAGTGCGGGTTGTTTGGGGCTACCCGAAGCAAGCTGGTGCGGGGGTGGATCTCCCGATCCATTCGTTATGATTATTATGATGTTCACAATTATTGTATACCTAATTACATATTATCGTTATCGTTTTTAACCTTATAATACTGTTATAGCTAGAATATTGTTATTATTATTATTGTCTTTATTTTTGTATTATATGTATTGTTATTATTATTGCTATTATCATTGTTATGAGTACTGCTACTGTTATGATTGATATGCTTCCTCTGAGACTTTGGAGCCGTGAACTCCCAAGCCTCAAGAACTTTCCCAACCTTAGACTTCTGAGCCCTGAGCCGCCGTCAGCCTTCTGCGATCCTTTCATCCGAAAGCTCGTGCTGAATCTGATAAGAAGAATTATTATTGCCATTGCTACTATCGTTATTATGTTTAGTACTATAACCTTAGTTATTAATTGCTACTGAAACCGTGAAACTTGGACTTTACATTCCCAAACCCGACATCTCCCGAAACCACGAACATCCGGAAGCCAGAGGCCGTCCTTAGCCGGCTGGACGCCTTGGACTGCGGCGAGGACGCACTTCGAGGGCCTGGCATTCTCTTCCTCAGCTGTAGTCGGAGACGGTCCCGGTCTGATTGGGGGTTCGAGGTCTGGTTTGGTGTGGACCCTAATCCCTATCATGTTTGCAACTGAAGTGGTGATGCTTCATCAGAAGACCCTAGTCATCCTTAGGGCTCTTTTTTGTACAGCTGGCCAAATCAATTCCCATGTCTACGGTTTAGGGTTTAGGGGTTGCAGTTTAGAGTACCCTATAGCAGTTTCAAAGACCTTTTCAAATCCTGGCCCCAGAAGACCCACGAAGGCCTTGCACGAGCCTTCTAAAATCTTCACGAACATACACATCCCGACAACAGCCCACAAACAACCTGAGCCTTAGAATACAAAAAAACACCCTTTTAGACTTTTCGACCTACACCCTAACCCTAAACCCTACCACCCTAAACCCTGATCCCTAAACCCTAATCCCTAAACCCTAGACCCCAAACCCTAAACCCTAACCCGTCGTCCCAGGTTCGCCCTGTGAGCTGCAAGCCGTCGACCGCTTCGCCAGCGCAGCGCAGGCGGAGTTCCTGGCGGCGCCCTCGTCGCACGAACGCTTGGATTAGGGTTTAGGGTTTAGGGTTTAGGGGGCTTCAAAGGGCGTTGAAGAAGGATCTACGGTACGTAAATGTTTCTTGGGCTTTGGAGTTTCAAGAGAGTTTTAGAAGCTTCGCTTTGTAAGGTTTTAATCGGCTGGGAACGGATCAAGAGCTTTACGTGCTAAGAGGGTGCTCTATGGGAGTTGGGCCGGTTCCGAGAAGCGGATGGGCTGTAGGATGTTGTAGGCGCAGGCTCTTAAGGGGATTTTGGGGCATTGAGGCTTGTTTTGAGCAGATCAGGCTTTGGGGGCCCTAGGGGCTTTAGGGGCTAGGGGCTAGGGGGTCGTTTGCATAGCAGAGGCCTAGAGTCGGGAGGCTTTTGAGGATTTGAATGTTGAGGTCAGTAGCAAGCCTTTTTAGGGTTTAGGGTTTAGGGTTTAGGGTTTAGGTTACTTGGATCTACCTTGTCTGGGGTTTTTTAATGGTCAGGCTTCCTGTCCGGGGGTTATGAGTTGAATCCTTCAACTCTTGCGCTGTATGGATGGTGTGGTTTAGACTTCAGGGTTCTCTAGACCTAAGCCCGAAACCCTGCGCCGAGGGTTTCAAGGATTCCTCGGCTTCTTGTGGTTTTCGGCCTCAGCATCACAAGAATTTTAGGCCAAGCCCAAGTGTTGCTGCCTAATTATGAGAGACAGAGACAGAGACAGAGAGAGAGAGAGAGAGAGGCACCGTCGTGTCTGGGTTTTGATTATTGGCCGTTCGGGCTCAGCTTTTCAGTGCACAAAGCTGATATGAATTTGGGTTTTGTTCTCATTCCCCTAAACACCCTACATTGTAAAACCTAAACCCCCCCGCAGAACGCTTGCGCTGACAGGAGTTCGTTTTGGCAACCCTGAGGCCCCCCAACCCCAAACCTGAGCCTTGCCCCCGAACTCCCGCAAGACGCCTCTCAAGCCTTTATACAGTACAACACTCATAGGACATGTATAGACGCCTTTATGGAACCTGGTCAGCACCCTTCTAAGAACCCGAAGCCCTAAATCCGAAACCCACAGCTAAAGCCTGAACCACGCTTGTCTAAGGCCCTAAGACGCACACACAGAGAGAGACCCCTGAGCCTTTGGACTCAACAGCCTGAACCCGAAACTCCGAAACCCGTACCCTTCTCCGTAAGCCCGGAAAGAGATTTTATGGGCCCCCTTTATAGGGTTTCGGGGTTTAGGGGTTCAGGGGTTTAAGGGTTGAGGGGTTTAGGGGTTTAGGGTTTAGGGGTTCAGGGTTTAGGGCTAGATCCCGTAAAGGAACCCTTGTGGGAATCCTGATGAAAGCCTGAGCCCTCTTTCCCTCGGTGCCCGCGGGTGTTGCGCTTCGAGGCGCTGGCCGCGCTGCGCTGCGCCGATGCCTCCGTGGAGGCAGGGATTGTAAGGGGTTTACGGGGTTTCAGAGCTTTTTAGAGGAAGGGGGTTCCCGCTTTTGGGTAAGATTCTAGGGCAGGCAAAAGGGTGTGTTACTGGTTTTCGTGACACTTTTCGGGTCTTGTCTCAGGGTTTTATAGGGTTTTACCGTAGGAATATGATTGTAGCCGATAAAAGAAACTGAATATCCCTAAACCCCTTAAACCCCTAAACCGCTAAACCCCTCAACCCCTGAACCCGAAACCCCTAAACCCCAGAACCCCTACACCCCTAAACCCTTAAACCCCTAAACCCCTAAACCCTTAAACCCCTAAACCCTTAAACCCAAAACTGGAAGCAGATGTAGGCTTCAGCCTCCAACGTGTACGGCTTCCGGCTTTTGTTTTGAGACTTCACAGCCCTGATGAAACCGCGAGAGCTCGGGATTTAGGTTGCAGCTAGACATAGTTTTAGGGTTCAGGGTTTGGGGTTTAGGGTTCAGGGTTCAGGGTTTAGGGTTTAGGGTTCAGGGTTTAGGGTTCAGGGTCAGGGTTTAGGGTTCAGGGCTTAGGGACTTCCGTCTCTCCCCTGTTCCAAGCACCCCGCCGAAACCCTTAAGCCTTACCAACGCCCTTCGCAGCAGCCATGCCTGAATTAAGCGAATTTGGAGTCTATGACACCGTATATAGTAACGATTGTGGATCCCTGAAAAGAGCCCTTATGGATTGTAGTGAACCCTGAGCCCTAAACCCTCGCCAAGCGCCTGCTACGTGCAGGCTCCATCCGCCCTTGAGCCAAAGTTGCTCAAGGCTGTTCCCCGGACTTTGTTGAGAACCTAATCTCTTGCGTTCGCATTGGAGTTCATAAGACTTTCGGCTTTTAGGGCCTTAGGGTTGCAGAGTTTACCCTAAACCCTAAACCCAATAAGCCCAAGCCCTAAACCCTAAACCCTGAACCCTGAACCCTAAACCCCAAACCCTAAACCCCAAACCCCAAAACCCTAATTCCCTAAACCCTAAACCCTAAACTGGGGTTCAGATGCCATGAAGAGCCGCCGTTCAGGGCCTGCGGCTTTCCGTGCAGCCCTGCGCTGCATAAACTGGACCCAAGCCTTCGACAGAACCTACAACTCCGAGAGCTCCAAAACCCTAGGGATTAGGGTTTAGGTGAGGTTTGGGGTTGAGGGTTTAGGGTTTCGGGTTTCGGGTTTAGGGTTTGAGGTTTCGGGGTTTCGGGTTTCGGGTTTAGGGTTTAGGGTTTCGGGTTTTGGGTTTAGTACTCCCCTCACACTCATACAACCTGAACCAACACTCCCAACCTCAAGCCCTAATCCCTAAACTCCCTAAACCCCAAACCCTAAACCCTAGACCCTAAATCCCTCAACCCTAAACCCTAAACCCTACACTCCCTAATCCTAAACCCTAAACCCTACGCGCCCTAAATCCTTAACCCTAAACCCCACTAAGCCCGAATCCCTAAATCTTTCACCGATCTTTCGCCGCACATCGAGTCTCGAAGCCCTTCCAAGGCAAATGTCTTGGAGGAGGCGCTTTGGAGAGGCCGGGCAGGGGATGCGGTTTAGGGTTTGGGGTTCAGGGTTTAGGGTTTTAGGATTTAGGGTTTAGGATTTGGGGGTTTAGGGGTTTAGGGTTTAGGGTTTTAGGATTCAGGGTTTAGGGGTGTAGGGTTTACGGTTTTAGGGTTTAGGGTTTAGGGTTTGGGGTTCAGGGTTCAGGGTTTAGGGTTTAGGGTTCTGGGGGGATTCAGGGTTCAGGATTTTGGGTGTCTAGGGTTTCAGGTTATGCAGTGTGTCCGACAGGCTCTTCAAAAAGTGGGCGTTTGCTCGCACGTCAATCTATCTGTCTATGCCTGCAAGTCCATACCGATGTGCATAGGGACTGAACCGTAAACCCGAATCACCGCATTACAGCCCCTTTTTGCAAACCCTAAACCCTAAGCCCTAAACCCTGAAAACTAAGTCCTAAACCCTAAACCCTGAACCCTGAACCCTAAACCCTAAATCCTAAAGCCCTCAACCCTAAACCCTAAACCCTAAAACCCTAAATCCTCAACCCTAAACCCTAAACCCTAAGTCCTAAAGCCTAAATCCTAAAACCCTAAAGCCCTGGAACCCTATAGCCCTAA